ACCACACTGGAGAGGCTAAGAATCTGTAGTCGTTCAGTCCACGAGGCTGGACTGAGCTGAAGGTGTGACGAATTCCAAAAGATCAGCTAGTCTTCAGTCTACAGCAGCAAGACGAACTCAGCAGCGAGAGAGAAGGCAAGCAGCAAGAAGCCAGGCATTCTCCTCTGCCGTGGCCTTTTGTATGGGCTGCCATCAGAAGGTAATACCCACATTTAGGGTGTGTCTTCCAGCTTCAGATGATCCAATTAAGAAGAGCTCTCTCATTTCAGTTAATCCCAGATCCAGCCAAGTTGACACCAAGGATTGGCCATCACAGCCAGGAACACAAAAGGTCACAAATGGTCAAAGTATAAAGATCGAGAGTCTGTTAAATAATCGTCCTTGGACAGGACTCCTTTATTAAACTTCACCTACCCAAGGCTCAGGGACCATCATGAAAGAGGGGGCAGAAAGAGTGTAAGAGCCAGGGAGGAGGTTCATGAACATATGGAAACAGAGTCCTACAAGTTCCTGGAAACCTGCTCATATGATTCTATGGCAATGGTGTCAGCATACATAAGTCCCATGCAAACTCAGGCAGACAGAGGGAACCCAGCATAGAATTGGGATAATGAAGAGCAGACCCCAATCTTATCTAAAGGAATGTTGGCAACTGATTGATGCTAGATGAAGAAGAGCTGATCTTCCTAAACAAAGGACTCTAGATAGGCTGACTAGACTTAGTGGATGAACTTGCACTGAGGAACGGCTGGGGGCACTGACAACACAGTGGGCAGTAACAGAGTTGACAGAGTATATGGGTTCCAGTGCAGGGGGAGGCTACAGGAGGGTGCCAGTGGGAATGGGGATATAAAGATGATTAAGATTGTTTGAGATGTTCTGTGTGAAATACACACACACACAAAATCAATTTTTTTAAAAAAGCAAAGGTTTGCTCTTGTCATGGTTTCAGAGGTTTCAATCCAAAGTAGGTTGGCTAATTGCCTTTAGGACTGTGATGGGACAGTACAACATGGCAGAAGTGCTTACCTCATGGCAGCTGGAAATCTGGGGGACAGCATGTCCCCAGTGACACGACTTCCTTCAACAAGAACCACCTCTTAAAAATGCCACCACCTCCCAGCAGTTCCACGGGATAGAAACTAAGTCTTCACACAGGTGCTTTGGGGAGAAATTCAAGGTCCAAAAGTATAAGACCACTCTCCTCAGTAGTAAGCAGAAGCCATGCCTTTCTGGTCTCCATTAATAACCCCATGATCTAGCAGCATGCCTGTCACATAGTGTGCTGGTTAGTGTTTGTCAACTCAACACCTGGGATGAGGGAACTTCAGCTGAGCAATTTCCTTCATTAGATTGGCCTATGGGCATGTCTGTGAGGCATTTTCTTGATTGCTAATTGATGTAGGAGGGTCCAACCTATGGTGGGTGGTGCCATCCCTGGACAGGAAGGCCTAGACTGCATGAGAAATCTGAGCAAACCAGGGGAAATAAACAAGTAGGCAGGTTCCCTCATGGTCTCTGCTTTAGTTCCTGCTTCTGGGTTCCTGCCTGAGTTCCTGCCCTGACTTCCCTCAAAGACAGACTGTGATCGAGAAGTATAAGCCAAATAAAGTCTTTTGGTCAGTTTTTTTTTGTTGTTGTTGTTGTTGTTGTTTTAATCACAGGAACAGAAAGCAGACTAGGGCACAAAGCAAGAGCTTAATCAATACTTATTGAATGAACAAATGGATTATATTTCTAGAAACATGATCTATTATCAAATAGGTGAGCCCATGTTCTATCATATCATTCTTCCATGGGTCTCAAGTTAGTGGGAGCTTAGTCAACACATTTTGGTAATTGAAATCATTTATTTACTATAGGCTGCATTCTCCTATCTACACAACACCGACAGGTCTTGTTGCAAAGCTGCTGGGAAATATGCTGCTTGCTCTCTTTTTGTATGTGCTGATGAAAAGGCACTTTTGTTCTTGTTTTTCATTGAATTTATTAGCTGTTTGGGCATTAAATGCATGACAGAGTGGAAAATGGCTAACAAAAATCAATTATATGATCAGCATTTGTCTCTGTATATATGTTTGAAAACATCTGGGAGCAAACTTCAATTATCCTTTGGATAGCTGCTGCCCTGTGCTCTCAGTCTGGGAGATAATTTCTCTCCATTATTGTTTCTAAATGATGGGTATGCTGCTGACAAAATAGGTGTTTTGTGATAGAGGGGCATTTGTGGGGCATTGAAAATAGCGTGTACTGAGCTCTCAGACTAAAAACTGTTATTTGATGGTGTACCTTCAAGTCGTTAGTGACTTACCACTCAGAAAACAACACATCCCTAAGCTTTTCATTCATTGTTTCAAAAGCTAAAGGAAAGAGGTCATTAATGTGGAATAAAACTGCAGAAAAATGTAATTCCATGTAACACCCTGCAGTGGAAAATCCGGTCACCTAGGGAGCCTTGGAGAAGAGCAACCAATTTCTTGGGGATCGAGATAAAACGGTCCTTTCATAAAGGGCCTAAAGCAAGATATTAATCAACAGAACCTTGGTACTAATCACAAACTAGAGTCCATTCACACATTTCACTTTAAGCAATTTCTTTACACACAGTGTTCACGCCCACTGCTGTCTAGACTCCTGCCACTAGACAATTCTTACTAGTGTCTGAATTTCTTTATAAAATTCCCTAAAGATCAGGAAATTCAGAAAGCCTGGGTTGAGAAGTCTAACCCTACGCTAAAGAGTCACTGTCTGACCCAACCTTATTCTTGGCCTTCTCCAGCCAAGAGCTGTCAATCTAAGAATGGCCTCTTCATACCTTGAGAGCTTTTCTATCAATTTTTCATCTAACTAGTCTTCTTTATGTCTGGCAAATGTCGCAAATGGGAATCAGGAGGTGCTGGGACCTCTCATTGGCCCACATAACCAGAAATGAAGTTGAACATAATTTAGGCTCATTCTTGAAAGGAATCTACACTTGGGAATCACCTGAGATCAAAGACACAGAAGGTGGATGGGGGTGCCCAAGGAGAGGCAAAAGCACCCAGAAACCTAGCCAGGTGTAACCCCAGCCCTTGGGAGGTTGAGGCACGAGGACTGTAAGTTTGAAGGCACTCAGAGCGTAAAGACAATAGCATCATAGTGATTCTCCTCTCTGCCTCCACACTAAGGGGGAGTGTCCTTGTGGTGAGTCTCACCCAAGCTTTACTGACTTTAAACAATGCACATTTTCTAGTCTGATGTCAGAAAATCTGATGGCTACTGCCATGTCTAGGGTTATGGTACCCATAAGCAATTCAACCAATAGGTCACAAGACGAAAGTTTGTCCAGCTGCCTGTTTATAACCAATTTAAATGCAATGGACTGAGATTTAGCTCTTAGAGATACCAGGGGAAAAACTGTCAGATTTTGTTCACCATGACTTCAAAGATTTTTTTCACTGTCTTACAGGTTTTCTTAAAAGGATTGGCCTAAGAGTGGTCTGCATCCCTATTCTCTATTGGCAATTTGGGTAACCCCTTCAGAGGATGGCATGATAAGAATAGGAGGTAGGAATTGGTTAAGCAGTTAAGGTAAAAAGACCCCAAAGAAAAGTAGCTAGTTTCTTTGCTAAAAGTCAAAATGTCCTTGGGACTGTTAGCAACATACTCTTGTTACAAAGCCAAAAATGTCAAAAGTATTTGCGAGCTTGTATCTAATCCTTAAAAGATTTTAGGGTTACCTCTTCAGAGGGGAGAATGTTAGAGTAGCCAAAAGTCCCACAAAAATAAATAAATGAAAGAAGAAAAGAAAGAAAAAGAAAAAAGTGATGGGGAGATATGGGAGGTGTTGGAAGGGAGGGCATGGGCATGGATTTGATCAAAACGGCTTACATGCATGTATGAAATTCTCAATAAAGTTTTTGTAAAAGTTAAAAAAAAAGGACTGGCCTATCGAATTTGGAATAAAGAATTTTACTTTCGCTTTCTCCAGATGAACAATGTGGCTCAGTTAATATTTCAACCAAAAAATCTTAAAGAGAGGGGAAAGAAGTCAAGTGAAAGAGAGCTAAGTGCGTTAAGTTTCATCTTTCACAGACTTGGCTTTCTTTCCTCCAATATCAACGAAGAATTTTTACAGTTTTGGTCTTTCCCCTATTTATTTTATTTTTGTCATTTATTCCTCACATAAAACTATTTGGCCAAGAAAATATTAGATTAATAGTCATGTTTTGCTTCTAACATATATACACACACATATAAAAATATTGCCATGGTCTAAGTCATGTTATCTTGCCTACAAATCTTGGCTGGTTCTCATCTGGGCCCATTAGCTTATTTTGAACATTTTCCAAGAAATTCATATAGCAGTAGATTTCCCTTCCTGAGATGTCAATTTCCTAAATATTCAATGAGATGACTTTCGAGATTCATGTCAACAAATTAGGAAAGTAATACTGTACCTACCCTAACAAGAAATTCACTGTTGCTGGTGCAGCTGCCCTAATTATACTGTAATAGATTTTCAAAAGAATTGCTTCTGAATTATAAACTATCCCAGCAACCTGCAGCACAATACTTTCAGTATTTCCAACAAATAAGTGAAGTCGGGAGGTCCAGAGGCTCACACACTATCTTTTGTTCTAGGAAGCAGTAAGTCAGTTTTGTACTTCATTATCAAAGCTCTTATTTTGTTTTCTGATTTGCTTTGTTTTCATAAATCTGGTACTTCAATATGGTTCCCATTTAATCAGTCACCATAGAAGAGAACAGAATTCTTTCCCCTGGAAATTAGAACAGGTGCTAAGCTTTTCCTTCTGTGCTAACAAATCCCTCAAGAGAAAACCATGGAAATGAGCACTCTGAGACAAAGTTTGGATGACAGATGTAAGCTAGTGTTTTCTGTTTACCAAATACCAACATAAAGACCCAGCAGTCTAACCAGGATAAACATCTTTGCTTTTTAAATCAGAGTTTACACAATCTAAAACCCAGGCATTTCAAGAGGTTGAAAAATAACTCACAGTGTGCAGTCCCACAGCACCTCAGTCCTCGGGGGGTCCTCTGTCCCAGGGCAGATTTTATCACCAGCGGGTTAACAGCTCTGTAATTGAGATCATTCATAGTAAGTGAACATGTTACTAGAACATTTGTCAGCAAAGAGAAAGCTTAGGTTACTTTCATGTCTTCTGTAATTGTTTTTGCAAACAGGAAGCAGGAAGCACACCTACCACCTACGAGAGTGTGGCTCAGCCTCAACTGGCCATTGACTTAAGTACTCAGGGCTGAGTCTCCTAACACAGGGGTTATAGAAACAGTCCCCAGAGGAGCAGAAACCAGCACCCAACATTTCATGGTCTAAGTAGCTTTGGACAGTGTTTTAGGTAGCTTTCTATTGCTGTGATAAAACACTGGCCAAAACCAACCTGGGGGGAAAGAGTTTATTTGGTTTACACATCCCTATCACAGTTCATCATTGAGGGAAGCCAGGGCAGGAACCTGGAGGTAGGAGCTGAAGCAGAGACCATACAGGAATACTCCTTCCTCCCTCCCTCCCTCCCTTCGACAGGATCTCTCTATATCCCCAAGTATCCTGGAATTTCCCACATAGACCAGGCTGACTTTGAACTCACAGAGATCTGCTTGCCCCTGTATCCTGAGTACTGAAATTAAAGGCTCGTACCACCACATCCAGCTTCAGCCTGCTTTCTTTTACAACCCACACTACCAGCCCAGAGCTGATATCATCCACAGTGGCTGTGCCTTCCCACATCACTCAACAACCAAAAAGAAAAAAAATCCCCAAACACCTACCAGACATGGCCAAAGGCCAATTTGATAGAGAAAATTCCTCAACTGAGGTTCCCTCTTCCCAGGTATGACAAATGAACCCATCCAGCCCAGCAAGATGCTACACAGGCAATGCACTACTGAGGGAGCACACACTTAAAATTAATTCAAAATTAATTTGATATTAGTTTGTACATATCTATAGAGATATATAATATATAAAATAATGTATTATCAAAAATAGACAAGTTATTTTAAATAATTTAAACCTGGTAAAGTAATATATTTTTCTAGAGTACATATAGAAGTTATCATTTAAGAATCTTTTGGTTATAAGTAACGAAGGACACAACTCAAATTCACTTATATAAATAGCAAAATAAGGAAATATTTAGGTTCATTGAGGTGGGAAAACAAACAAAAGAAAACAGATGTCTAGCTCATTTGGGTAAATCAGAAGTCTGCTATCCTGTTGGGATCCCTGCAGCTGTCTGGGCACAGTGTTCTCTGTGGGTTGATTTCCTCCTCAGACTCCTCCCCTCAGGCTGCAGTCAACCATTCAAGGTCAAATATCTATCATTTGAGAGGATGTCAGCCTCATCTGTACTAACAAAATGTCCCCATGTCACTCAAAGCTGAATCCATTGCTATTCTTTGAGGTCTAACATGCTGAAAGGCCTTAACTCACCCAGGGTTATCTCCAGTGGTGGAGGTGGAATCAACATAAACAAAAATGAGATGGGGAAACATTTGGGGTTCTTTGAAGAAGAAGGGAAGGGGTATTGTGGAAATTATCCACACTCGTCCATGCCACAGCTCAGTAATGAGTTGAAGTTTGATATCTGAGCTTGTATCCACAAAATCCTAGACAAGCCTTTGGATTACCAGATGCCTGAAAGAAAGCAAGTGAGTTTCAGTGGGTTCTGATTTTCCAAGTCTTTTAGCTGGATTTTCTATTAGTACATGATTTGCTCTCTGAGAACATGACTCAGTATTTCATCATGGTTAGGAAATGCATTCCACCATATCTGACGTTCTCTTGCCTTCCATCTTTTGATTGTGATCTAGACAGCTCTGCCAGAGTGGGCAGACATTGCTGCTGGAAGCCAAGACTGCGGCAGACGCTGCCTGCTGCCTCCCCAGTGTTGTCTCCCCCTCTTCCTTCCAGAAGCCTAATTTTGGTCAGACCAGGAACTTTCAGCTGAAAAAGAAGGGCCAGTGAGGTAGAATGGGTCCTGGAGGTACAAATGGAAGTTCTATGAATGGAGGTTTCTAGTCAGGACTCCCAGGAAACCTGCTGAAAAGGAACATGGCCCTCCCTTCTGGTTCTTTGCTTTCTCCATGAGGCAGGAGGACATGTGTCTCACAATCCTGAAATAACAAACAGGAAGGCAAAAATCACTCAGTGTAAAGCTTAAAGGGAAAGGAGCCCCGGCTGGCCTGCCCTGCTTGCTCCTGTCATTTAAGAATGAAAAAACTCTATTTGCTTAAGCCACCATGAAGGGTGCCTGTTACAGGCCACTGAACATCATCCTAGCTGATCAAGGATTTCACAACCAGATAGTAAGAATCAAGGCTTGAATTCAGCCTCCCACCTTCCTGTCATTGATAGTTCCAATAATCACCATCACCTGCCCTCTGAGGGCAGACTCTGCCTTCTGAATGCCATACAAAGAGAAATTTCAAATGGATGCTTTTTAATCCAGGTATTGTGGTGCATACCTATAATCCCAGCACTTGAAAGGTGGAGGCAGGATGATCAAGAGTTCTAAGTGGTCCTCAGCTATGTTTGTTTAAGATCAACCTGGGCTACACGCAGTCCTGGCTTAAAAAATCAAAAACATAACTGGCATTATATCCTAAGCCACAGTACAGTTCTGCCTAAATAAAGAAACAGGCTGACTCTTAGCCCTCCTTTTAAGGCCAAGAGTAGACCCAAACTCTGAGCATCCATTCCTTCAGATGTGTTACAGAACTGTGCTCTCAAACCAGGCTTCACTCATTCTTTTATTGAAACAGTACCCCCAGCATGAATTGGGGAAGTAGAAGCTAGAATCCACAATTATCAGAGAATCTTGCCTTTTGAATCCTAGATCTAGAATATCACACAGTTTCAGACAGACTTCCCAATTCTGTTTTCTTTCTTTCTTTCTTTTTTAATCTTTCCACAATGTCGGAATTTATTGAATGACCATAAATTCACAGATATTTCTGTTTCATTGGCTGTAATTTACCAAGTAGTCCTGATTTTTCTTTTTTCTTTTTTAAAAATTTGTTTTTATTAAATTTTATTTTATTTCATACAGAATATCTTTAATGATCTGAATCATCTTTATAGTCCTGTCCCCACCAGCACCCTCCCTTAGCCCCCCCCCACTGGAACCCCTATACCTATATATTCTGTCCTGGGTGTTAAGGCCCACTGTGTCGAGTCAGTGTCCCCAGACATACCCCAGTGCAAGTCCATTGACTTGCAGTTTAGTCAGATCCCTCTCATCTATCTATCCAAAAACCTATCATTTTCTTTCTTTTTTTTTTTTTTAACAGAGTGTAGGGTGGGGGTTTATTTACAGAGGAGTGGGAGCCCCCCATTTACAGCTGCACTGGAAAGTCCACACTCAAATATAGATCCTGTGACTTCCCGACAGCCACAGAAAATGGTGAGAGGTGCCTCCTGGCATTCTCAGCTTATCTAGCCTTAGCCCCTCCCCCACGTGCAGCTAAGGCCTACTCACTGGATGGGAGGGGTAACCGGTTGACTACCTACCTTCTTGACTCCTTGATGAGTGTGGGAAGGAGGTCTCACTGTTTTCAATGGGAAAAAAACTTGCTGCTTCCAGTGTTTTGACATGTTAATCATACACACCCACATTCATCTACTATCTTCTGTGGAGGGCAAGGTGGGGTTCTGAGGAATTAATGTCAGGTGCCCCAGTCACAAGAGGAGCAGATGGCTCAGTGAGCTTGTTTACATTGTAACTCTTTGATTGCAAGGTTAGATAAAAGTCATTAGTCCAGATTATGTCCATATTATAAAAGTCATTCCTACACAAAACAAAGAAAAACAAAATAAATCTGTGCTTTTCTTTCTCAACAAATAGCTCTTTTAAATGACCTGTGTAAGAGTTCAAAGGTAGGAGACGATTCTTTACCACCACCATTTTTCAATATACGATACTCAAACACTTACACAATTGTTAAAGCAAACTGTGCTTGGCTGGAGCAAAGGATATCTACGTCTTTTCACCAAAATTTCTTTCAGGGCTGCCTGAGAGAGAATTAGCCATCACCCCAAATCTTGTGGCAGATGAATTTTCTTCCTTGATTTTTCACATCCACTGAGCTATTAAAAGATAACAGAGCTCTTGTGAAGGTTAGAATAACTTACTGAGCCAAGACGAAACCATACCCAAAGCTCAATTCCAGAGGGATTAAGGGTTGAGCTGTGAAAAGCAAAAAGGCTTAACCGTTCAAAGGGAGATCTGAAAGAACAATTTTTCTGACCTCAAATTGGGAAAGGAGTTCTTAAATCACATGAGGGCTAACCATAAAAAGAAAGACTGACTACTTTTGCCAACTGTAAATGTAAGGTACAATAAAGAATAATTAAAAGAAAACACAAGGGCAGGTAAGGTACTTGCTACCAAGCCTGACAAGTTGAATTCAGTCCCCAGGACCCACATGGTAAAAGGAGAGGACCAACTCCTGCAAGTTGTCCTCTGATCAGCGCATGTGCACCATGGAACAGATACCCTCCCCCTGATACATATACAAAGACACACAAATAAATAAAATAAAATAAAATAAAATAAAATAAAGGTAATATTAAAAATTTAAGCCAGTATCTGAGTCAAGTTTGCAAAGTAGAGAATGAACAAAAGATCAGTATTCAAATTAAATAAAGGGATGTTACAAATCAGTCATAAAAATACAACACAACAGCAAAGTGAACAACAGCACTGACAGGCAGGCCACAGAGCGGAAAGACAGACATGGAGAATGGGCAGATGAAGATCTGAGCAGCTGCCTGTGTAATCTAGAAAATGCAAATTAAACTTAGGTGTAGGTGTAAATGGATATCAGCACCCTGTGAAACTGAGTGCACATGCGCTCCATCTGAGCAGATGTGTGCCTCCTGACATCCTACAGGGCTGTGGTCTGGATGTGGACTGCCCTCCAGCATTCAGATTGAAACTAAATCCTGATGGAACACCGTTAAGGGGTGTGGTTTGGGGGAAGTGACTGAATCATGAGAGCTCTGTCCTTGTGGCTTCACACTGAAGGGAGTAACCTCCTTCCTTTCACTATGGGAAG